TTCAGAGAGGATGGGAGAGGGAGAGGGAGAAACATCAATGATGAGAAAGAATCATGGATCAGCTGTCTCCTGTCTTACCCCTACTGGGGATGGAGCCTGCAACCTAGGCATGTGCCCTGATCAGAAATCAAACCATGACCTCCTGGTTCAAAGCTTGATGCTCAACCACGGAGCCACGCCGGCCTGGCCATGCATGCATTTGAAGCTGGCTGAGTGCTGACTAATATATAAAGTTATTAAATGAAGCCCTAGCACAGCAATTATAAACTTTAACCACATTTTTGCTCAGCGCGTCCTGCATGTTCCCCTTTTCCTCTCAGAGAAATGCCAACATCTGACTATGCGTTGAGAAGAGATCCCAGGAGTGACCACAGCCCACGGCTCATGGAGAACGATGGTGTCAGGAGGAGGAAATATGGACAGAAAATAACAGTGACCCCTGACCCCGGACGAGGACAGCCCACGAGGGCTTCCTCCCCGCCCCTGCCCAGCCCTGGAGAAGGGCCCCTTTCTCCTCGGGGCCCTGGGTCCACGGGAAGGAGGCCTCCCGCCACCAGGAGTGAATCCCACACAAGACAGAACCGAGTCCCACACAGAAGGGGACGCGCCCCCACGGGGCTGTCCCTGCTCTGGCCCTGACCTGAGCCCTGGCCCTGGTCTAAGAGTTGGTGCAGGAGATGCCACTTGAGTCCTGACCACGGACCAGCCCTGGGAGCTGTGGTCAGACTCCCCCTGAGGACGCTGAGTAGAGACTGAAGGTGCCCCGAGGTGAGGGGAGGCCATAGAGGGGACCCTGGCCTGGCCCTAGGGCAGGGGCAGTGTGCAGAGCAGTGGGAAGGCAGAGGTGGCCTCTCATGGGTTCTGGCCCCCATGTCACTCAATGGTGTGTCTGGGCCTGGACACTAGAGGGCGCTGGGGGTTTGCTCATGAGGATCTGGGTGCTCAGAGCTGGGACCAGCCCCTGACAAAGCCCAGGACCCTCTGCTCAGGGCTGTCAGCTGGGACTTCCCCAAACCTGGGCCCACACAGCCCCTCCCCCGACCACATCAATGGCCATCCTCAGGCAGAGGGCCCTGCCCAGGGCCCAGGGAGGGATCAAATAGATGGGGTCTCATTTGCATAACAGGACCCTCCCTCCTGCAGACTATGAAGAGGAGAGGGGAGAGGTGTGGGGAGCTCTGCTTCAGCTGTGGGGCCTCAGGAGCAGGACTCAGGGATGACCTCCACCATGGCCTGGGCCCCTCTCCTCCTCACCCTCCTGGCTCACTGCACAGGTGACTGGATGAGGGGACGGGGAAGGGGCCTTGGGAAGACACACGGGCCCTGCTTCCTCCTCTTGTCTCTAGACCCAGACTCACCATCTCTGTGTCTCCCCCTCTTGCAGGATCCTGGGCCCAGTCTGTGCTGACTCAGCCATCCTCAGTGTCGGGGTCCCCGGGACAGAGGGTCACCATCTCCTGCACTGGAAGCAGCTCCAACGTTGGGCTTGGTTATGTGCACTGGTACCAGCAGCTCCCAGGAAAGGCCCCCAAACTCCTCATCTATGATAGTAGCAAACGACCCTCAGGGGTCCCTGATCGATTCTCTGGCTCCAGGTCTGGCAACTCGGCCTCCCTGACCATCACGGGGCTGCAGGCTGAGGACGAGGCCGACTATTACTGCTCAGCATGGGACAGCAGTCTCAGTGGTGCCACAGTGCTCCAGGCCTGTGGGGAAGTGAGACAAAAACCCTTCTCATCTGTGAGGTGGTGAGATCTCCAGCAGCTGCTGTTCAACTATGAAGCCAGAGGTCATGGTTTGGGAGAGACCACCAAGATGGCAGCATAGGTAAACACTGGAGACTGCTGCCGCAAACAACCACTTCAAAAATACAACTAAAAGACGGAATGGACATCACCCAGAACCACAGGAAGGCTGGCTGAGGAGAGACTCTTCAACTAGAAGGAAAGACAACAGCATACCGAGGCTCAGAGGAGGCGCAGTGTGGAAAATTTAAAGGTGCGGAGGTGCGAGCGCAAAGCGGGCTGCTGACTGAGGGTGCGGTTGTCGTTTTCAATCAGGAGGGAGTCTCAGACTCTGAGCTCCAGATCCGGGTGAGCCTCTAGGGACTCAGACTCAAACGGGAGAAGCGGGATTGTCTAGCATCAGTTGGAACGTGAGGGCAGCTTTCTCTCCGAGGTCTGCAGCGGTTGCCGGGGTTCTGAGAAGCAGAGCCTCTGGGAACGGGACTGAGAGCAGCCATAACTGCTCCCTCCGCCCGCGCTGTTGATCCCGTGCAACCCGCCCCGCCCAAGCCCTGCGCAGAGCCATTTGCCAGATCGCCTCAGGCAAAGGCTAGATTAGCACCTCCCCAGAGGACAGAAGTTTTCCGGGCAGTCACAGCTGATTCTCACAGCCAGTCGGCCTGGTGGTCAAATCCCTCTAGTATTAACTACAACAATCAAGGCTTAACTAGAACAAGACTGCGCACAAAGACCACAAGGGGGTGCACCAAGAAAGCATAAAAAATGCGGAGACAAAAAAAATGACAGAAATGGAGGATATGGAGCTAAAAATC